AGAGTGGCACTCACCCCAGCCCTGGCTGCAGCAGCCCCAGGAGCAGCCGATACCAGCTGCCTGCACCAGGGCACAGAGCAGCCCAGCAGCTGCAGGCAGATGGCACTGGCCGCTCCCGAGGCTCCCTTTGCTTTGCTGCCTTGTGCAGCCCCAGGAGTGGCACTCCTTCCCCGCCCCTTCCCTAGTCCCAGCCTCCCTCCCTCACCGCCATGGGAACCTATCTCTATTTGTTACATTGTAAAGTGGATTCACTTTATGCGAATTTGATTTATGCGCTGTTGTCTGGGAACGCATGTACAGCATAAATCAAGGAAAACCTGTACTAGCAACAGTGCATGAACTGGTGGATGTTAGTCTGGAAATAACTGATGATCTAATCTACATGCAAGGGGGCATCAACGCAAAAAAACCCTGAAGTGATATATTTGGTATTGTAGACAGTTGCAGAGCAAGAAAACAGAGGTGTGTTTGGCTAAGGGAGCAAGAAACTGACAGTACAGCTGAAGGAGAGAAAGGGCACAGCACAACGGAAAAGGAAGGAAAAAGAGGAAACAGTGGCACTGTTTAAAAAGTAACATAAAGATGGAGGGGAACATAACCAAAGATAAAAGAAAGACGCAATGCAATGGCACAGAAAAGGAACAAATATAAGCTTAAAAAATCCTGAAAATATATCTTAGAGGTTTTTAGACAACCTAAGGGAGCGAGGAATCCAGACTTAATAGGCATTGGGCACCTAACTCCCTCTAATGTCTTTGAAAATCGCAGCCTAAGCACAGCGGTATGTCTGTCAAAAGGACCCCTCGGAAGAGCATTGGCCTCTTGCTCCATCAGTTCCTCATTTGCATTTTCCACGGTAACATTTTCATGCTTGGACTGTGTTTCTTCACTCACTGGTTTGCCACAATTCTCCAGAGGGTGGTGAAAATGTCAAGAATAGCCATCCCTAGAAATGACATGTCTGCCACGTCTGTTTTGGAAACTGTTATGTGATAACAACAGGTCAATGCGTTCCTGGAACGGGGAAATCGTTGGTTCCACCAGAGGCGTGGTGTACAGGGGAGCCCAAGGGCCCTGGCCCCCCTCAGGAAGAGGGCTGTCACCTGAAATGCATAAAACTTTCCACATGTCCTTCATCATAGCCCCCCCACCATGGCAAAAATAGAAGTCAGTGCTTATGGGTCCCACTAATTGTCCTACAATGTCATTACCTCACTATAACCTTCTATGGTGATTTCAGATTATTTCTACTGTTTTGGCATTCGGGTCCTGATTTAGCAAGTTGCTTTTGCATGGGACTGACTTTATACATATGAGAAGCCAAGCAGGGTCAAATCCAGAGGGGGTGCAGTGCAGCTGCACCCCTCTTTTGGACTTGACTGGACCGCTGGAGCCTCTGAGGGTCCTTAAAAGATCTCCCCTTCCATCCTGTGCTCACAGACATGTCTCCTTCCCTGCCCTTCCTCCATCCCCCATCTGCCATGGCTGCTTTCCCTGCTCTCCTGGGGGTAGGGCAATCTTCAGAGCTGCTCCTGCCCATTCCAGCAGAGTGGGTTCAGCCGGGGCAGCAACAGTGGCAATGGCTTTCCTCATCTGCTTATGGGGGACCAAGCACTGTGGGGGAACCCCCCCTCCCCTTTGCTGCTGCCACTGTTCCCAGCTAAGCCCAGCCCCTGCACAGCTCTGCTGGAGCAAGCAGAAGCAGCTCTGAAGGTTTCCCCACTCCCAGGGGACAGTGGGGAAAGCAGCAGTGGCTGAAGAAGGAGAAGACAGAAGGGGAGAGGACATACCACCAAGGGAAGAGAAGATGGGGATGCCCACCAGCTTTGAAAACTTTAACAAGTTCCCAAAGGCTCTTACAGTGTAGTCTGCCTGCACCGATGGGTTGGAAGCAGAAGACTGGGAGCAGGGTTGCAGCCATCCTTGCAGCACACGTGTCTGCTCCCACAACCTCCTTTGCCAAATCCTGGATCTGACCCTCAAGCCAGCTGTGTTACTTGGGTCCACCTACTTAAGGATTTTCGAAATTGGAGCCAGATCATATTAGTTTAACCCCATAGTTCGCAACCTTTTTAGACTCAAGGCTCCCATTGGAAAATGTCAGTTTTTACCTTGCATTCATTTTTTGACTGAAGAAAACAATAGAGCAATTCTTCTTTTTCAAAGAACTCAGAAAGACCACAGCAGATCAGAACATAGGATTCCTGTTTGAAGCCCACATTCAAAGGATACTAACACTAGGGATATTCCCCCCAGCAGAAGGTGAAAACCAACTCAGTCTGTAGCGCACGGTTTTCTGTAGGAAGGTCTGGTAGCTCCAGATGCAGTCACTGAGTATCAGGGCTAATATATTCTCTAAACATTGTCACTCTCAGCACATAGAAATACAGCTTAGGGTGGGGCAAGCTGAGTTTGTCTATATTTATCTCTTGCCTTTTTATCTCTTGCCTATATTTATCTCTTGTCATTAGGTTCTTAAAATAAGCATAACATGAGGAAGAACATGAGAAGAGGAAGGCAGAGTTATCCTTAGGCACTGGCAAGTTACACTTAGTCTGGAGACACCTAGCATGCTGTGAGCGATTTGTCTCCCTTCCTGGCTGTGATGGAAATACAATCAGTGCTAATCTCTTTAGGGCACTGCATAACTTTGACCTGAGTCCTTGCTGGTTTTCAGCCTCAAGGAGAGGGTTTCAAGCACCCTGGTTATGACAGGAGGAAAGGTGCGCATCTTTGGGTTGGAAGATAGTTACCTTTGGGCATGTCTACACAAGATGCTGCTGTACAAGTGGTTACTCTGTGTTTATTTAGTACTTGCATAATCAAGTATTAAATAAATGCACGGTAATTAGAGTTGCTGTGTGGTAGTGCTGGCAAACTTCTTTTTAATGATGCTACTGCATAGTAATAATACAGTAATAACACAATAATAACAGTAATAGTACTGTCCGTGCTGTGACGTGCTACTGCACAGTATTATTCAGCTACTGTGCAGTCAGCATCTCATGTAGACACAGCCTTTATGTTCTTTGTCCCCTTGAAAATTAGAAGTGCATCTAAAAAAGACCCTACAGCTCATCAGACATATTAAAGAATCAAGAGTATCACAGCAGTTTCTTGCTCAGAGACTGATGATGTATCAGCAGCACTAAAGCGGGCTGCATGGAGATCATTGGTACAGGAAGCACCAGTGGTATTGATGTGATGGCTGGTGTTGAGTGCAATGAGGATACTATTACTGGCATAGTCCAAGCCCCTAATTCAAAGTCCTATTACACTATCTATCCTAGCTGCAGGTAACCAGTGCCTAACTTGGTAGCCTTTGGCCACTACTTTGTTAAACTTTGCTACATCCGTGTCCTGTGCACCATGAAAACCTGAGATCATCCCTTACCAAGACCCCAGGCTGAGTCCTTCATTCTGGTCATGACTTCCATTCCTCTATTCTCGCCAGGGATTTCTAGGCCCTCTGTCTTTCCATGGTCTGATACTGAAAATATCCAATACATTCCATTCTAAGTCAATGGCTTCTTTGTATGAAACATTTTCAAAGCCACATCATTGGAAATGTCTCTACATGACATCTCTCCGTGCTGGACTTCATTCTGATCTCACACCAGGTTCACCACGGTGAGACTCCAGTCATCCTGAAGAAGTTATTCTCATGGTAGGCATAGCATTAGGGAGAGCATGAGAAAGAACCTGAGAAGAACCATAGCAGAATTGTCATTAGGCACAAACAAGTTAGACTCAGGAGATTTGTAGCTCTGCAAAGGAGAGCAAAAGCAAAACCAGCCCCATTATTCTTTCCCCACCTTGCACAATACTTTAGGTTAAATTAAAGCCAGCAAATTGCACAAAATCTGGGTCAGGTGCTCAGTATTATGGCTACATTTTCTAGAGTTGGAATTGAACCAAATATATACCCTGAACTTTGGAAAGTTTGGGCTTGGCTCTTAACCTTGCAGTTGGGCCCATCTCTAATAGCTTCAGAATTTATGTTTTCAAGGTAATACAGCCGATGGCTTCGGGTTCCACCTCTTGTAAATGAGACTGATGGGCAGTGGGGCAAGAGATCATGTAGGATGCCTGGACCCTAGCTTATCTACTCTCTAACCCTTTTTTGTTGCTGTGATTATGAAACCAAGGTCACTCAACCTAGCACTCAATTCTCAGTTTCGCACAATGGGAGGAAAAAAATATTTTTGTAAGGGAAGCAAGCCCCAGCAAGTGAACGAAACCTCCCTTCCCCTTCTGCTGTCAGGTTTTTGTACAGGGACGTGATAGGAACTGATCATTGTGGTGGACGTTCGGTAAAGGAACCAAGGTAGAAATTAAACGTAAGTATATCCTGATTTCTCTGTTTTCATGGTCTACTCTGCTTTTAAATCCGTATTCGGGAACGCTGAAATTTCAAGCAAAATGGAAGGAGTGTTGGACACTGTAAGTGAAAAATGTTGTGAAATGATTCCAAATGCAATAGAAAAGGGTGCGTGCGAGGAAAGTAGGACTTTGCATTTTATTTTGGACTGGAAAAACTACTCAGTAAAGATGAAAAATGGTCTGGTAAGGCCTTCAGCAGGTTTAAATGAGCACAGTACTCTCCATTGGCAAATACTGAGGCGCCGATGCAGTTAACAAGTCTTTGGACCAGTATTTCTGTGCAACACGTGCAGTAATGGCCCTCATTTAGGGGAAGTGAGGTTTTTGTAAAAGAGCCGGGTAGAAGGGAACCACTGTGGTACAACTTCGGCAAGGGGACCCGGCTAGAGATCAAACGTAAGTACACTTTTTCACTGCTCTTCTTTATTGTTTGCCACATTTGTTCATTTTTGTGTTTGTTCTGTGTGTTATTGCAATTGATGTGATGGCCATGCTAAAAGAGTTCTTGGAGAAGGGTGATGCAAGTAAAATGTAGAATATAAACCAGTGTGTAAGGGTAGAAACGCCACCACCTCCTCGGGTGGATTTTTAGAGCTACCTTGCTATATGGGAGATAAATGAATCCACCTAGCCAAGTGGGACTCACTTAGTTGCACAGTAAATAAGTTTTTGAATGAGAGGAAGTTCATAGGCAACCACTGTGGGACACTTTCGGCAAGGGGACCCGAGTGGAAATCAAACGTAAGTACCTTTCTTCCCTGCTCTTCATCCTTGCTTGTCGCATTTGTCCATTTTTGCAAGTTTTGTGTGTTTTGGTGGCATTGGTGGAATAATGTCAAAAGACTTACCAGAGAGGAGAAGGGTAAGGAAAGTGAAACATGTAATATAAATCAGACTTCAAGGATAGAAAATACTGTCACCTCCTCAAGCAAAATTTGTAAAGCTAAATTGCTACATTTGAGGCAAATTAATCCAAGGGGGCTCATTTAGTTGCACAGAAAATAGGTTTTTGTATGACAGGAAGTTCATAGGCAACCACTGTGGTACACTTTCGGCAAGGGGACCCGAGTGGAAATCAAACGTAAGTACCTTTCTTCCCTGCTCTTCATCCTTGCTTGTCGCATTTGTCCATTTTTGCAAGTTTTGTGTGTTTTGGTGGCATTGGTGGAATAATGTCAAAAGACTTACCAGAGAGGAGAAGGGTAAGGAAAGTGAAACATGTAATATAAATCAGACTTCAAGGATAGAAAATACTGTCACCTCCTCAAGCAAAATTTGTAAAGCTAAATTGCTACATTTGAGGCAAATTAATCCAAGGGGGCTCATTTAGTTGCACAGAAAATAAGTTTCTGTATGAGAGGAAGTTCATAGGCAACCACTGTGGTTCACTTTCGGCAAGGGGACCAAGCTGGAGATAAAACGTAAGTGCATTCTTAAACTCTCTTCAGCTTCTCTCTGTCAAATTTGTCCATTTCCGTGACTTTTTTCTGAGTTGGTACTTCTTGAAATGAGAGCTCTGAGAGAATGGCAGGCAATGTAGATACGTAAGGAATATACCTGTCCTCGAGGGTGGACGACTACCTCCACTGACCGCTGTAGAATTTGGATTAAACTATTACATATTACATAAATGAGAGATCCCTTAGTTGTACAACAAAAAGGTTTCTGTATGAGAGGAAGTTCATAGGCAGCCACTGTGGCTCACTTTCGGCAAGGGGACCAAGCTGGAGATAAAACGTAAGTGCATTTTTTAACTGTCTTCGGCTTCTCTTTATCAAATTTGTCCATTTCCAAAATTATTGTGTGTGTCAGGACTGCGTGAAATAGGAGCGCTAGCAGGATGGCAGACAGTGTAAGTGTGTACAAAGTATATCCACCTTCAGACGTGGAAAATACCGCCACTTCTCTTGTGAGAATTTGGATTAAACTATTATATTTGACATACAATATGTTTGAGCCCTCCTGTAGTTATACAGTAAAAAGGTTTCTGTTAAAGAGGAAGGTCATAGTTAGGCACTGTGGGTCACTTTTGGCAAAGGGACCAAGCTGGAGATAAAACGTAAGTGCATTTTATTTGTGATAAATCCTCTCTCGCTTTGATTTTATCTAATTTAATGCACAGATATAGAAAAATGCTCTTCTTCCCTTTGTCCCTTTCT